TTCTCTTTTATTAAAAATTATGTTGTTAAGTTTAATTTTAAAATATTTATTCATAAGTACTTAAATATTTAGAAGCCTAGAAATCCAGCTACCCATATTTTTTAAGAGTTAATCAAATAAGTACTTAAATATTTAGAAGCCTAGAAATCCAGCTACCCATATTTTTTAAGAGTTAATCAAGAAACATTAAATCTGTAATCATTTTGATGACATGGTCTTTGAATTTTTTACAATTGTTGTTATATTATCATCAACTTTTTACTTTGTTTTATAATATTTTTTTACAAAATGATTCTTTGTTAATTTTGTTTTCAGTTTTTCTTTTCAATCTTATCTAAAAATATAATGGATGTTTTTACTTTGTTTTTTGTTACTTTTTATGTGTGTAGTGCAGGGAAGATAAACATTCATAAATTAAAGTAGCTATTGACTTTAAATGTGTGGTCATGAATCTCCTAAAGTTTCACTTAGCATTTATTTATATCTTGACTCGTTTCACTGTGATATTGACTTATGCTGAAATATAGCCATCAGAACATGTACATTATGTTACATAATATTAATATTAGTATTTCCATTTCTCTGTCAGGGTGAATTGAGATAAAAATAATCTAGATTTTCAGTTGTTGTTTGTAATTAAGATGTTTAAGAAATTAAAGAAATTATCCATTACTTCTTTTGTCTTGAGACACCAATTCGACTACTGATTTTCTTCTACACGTACATGACATAACATAAAAATAATGTTGATCAAAGTTTATTGTAGTGATACCTCATAACTGAAGGGACTTTACCTTTTATAAGCTATCCCCTACAATACTGTTCATACAATATCCCGAAAATATTATTTGTAGGATTTTAAGAGAATCATCATATCAGTTCAGTCTAGAAATGTGATCAAGCTCATAATATGAGTAGTGGTATTGCTGATTTAAGATAATTTACCAGACTTAAAAGGATCTGTAACTGCTTTTCACATCAGCTTACTAATACACTGAGTCCCACTACTACTAGTACTACTCACTGTTGGCAACTGGTTGTGGGTGTGGTATTAACTCATTTGTCATTAGCGGTATTAGTATTGTTACACCACTGATCGTTTGTTAATTTTCCGTAGAAATTCTTTCCGAAAAACTTCAGCAATACAAGTCATTCCTTAAATAAAACTAGTTTATTCTTTCTCAATACAACTTTGCAATGTACTTAATTCCCACAGTCAGTTAACTTAAACAATCGCTATAATTCACAACGAACGTTTCACGCGCTTGACTCAATTGTCCGTCTCTATCTCTGTCTGCAATTCAATTCCATTCTTGCCGTCACTTCTTGGCGGTTTTATATTCAAGAATACTGCACATCCAGTAAACACTCGAGCATTCACGAACCTTCTAGAATATCATGACGTGTTACTAGTGTCACGTGACTTCCGCTGTCGTAGCAGTATTTTTAACAAATATTCTTAGTTCAAGCACTACGAGATATTGCAGTAAACATGTAGAACTAAATACGTCTCAGAAGTAATTCGATGTTTTACAATAAATCTATATCAGCATTAACTTGAAAATTTCGCATTTAACGATAATGTTATTGGTATAAAAATGTATTAAATAGATAATTGCGAAATAAAGATATAAAAAATAATTTCAAACGGCTAAAATGGAATGAGGTGCAAATAACATATTAAAAAATACACATACATACTGAACAAAAGTCACCTCGAAGTTTTAGTGTTATTAACAAGTCAACTTGTTCTAATGATGCTGTGTAATAACCGCGGAATGTCGGCTGTGTGCTCGTTTTTAAAAAAATATAATTTCTCATCATATTTTTTACTATTAAAGTATATTTGTTTTATTTTGATATTAGAATACCTTCAACCTTTTAGAATTAAAGCTATACAATTTGGATAAGAATTCTAAAAGTTTTAACATACCCCAAAATATAGCATTCAAAAAGAATGGGGAATGTTCAATTTCACAATCATCTCTGAAGTTCAAGTGACTAAAACTAGTTGGAATCCAAAACGTTTTCTCAGAAAATCTACTCGCTTCTTTGCACCCTAAAGAACGGTGCGCATTGCCGTGTAAATTCCTGCGCTTGCCACAAACTTTGAACAAAACGTCCACCCCTACACGTGTTAATGTGTATTGCGCCAGCCTATGATATAATTATCATTAGATTATAACCCTCCACGAATAGAGGACGACACACGGTACCCCATTAACTCTAGCATTTGAACATAGATATATTCTTTCCATGATACTGCTAATATTCAACGTTTTGTTACGTCTCTGGTCGTTTGTTAATTTCCGGTATAAATTCTTCCCGAGGAACTTCAGCAATACAAGTCCTTTTATTAAATACAACTAGTTTATTTTTTCTCAATACAACTTTGAATTGCCACAGTCACTTTAACTTAAACACACGCTATAATTCACACACTTTACTTATGGTCACTACCGCTCACTTAACTCAATTATCTGTCTCTATATCTCTCTTCTATCTGCTATTATCTCCGCTTTATTTGCCGGGCTTATATATTAGAATAGAGGGCGCCTGGAAAAGACTAGAGTTGCCAAGAAAAGTCATGATCCTTCCAGAAACTCATGACGTATTACCAGCGTCACGTGACTTCCGCTGTCGTAACAATTTTGTGTTGTTTTTTCATAACATTTACCGGGATTTCTGCATTTATTATTTTCAACTTTTTTTTTTATTATTCAGGGAGTAGTTTTTCGTTCCTTAATTATATTGCTTATGTGAAAGAACAATACAGTTAGTCCCTTCTTTCAAATTATCTTCAATTTGATTTTCTTTCATTCAAATTTGCACTTTTGGAGCTCAAGTCTCACTGTCTCTTCAGTTTGTTTAATCCAACATGTGGTTTTGTCCAGTACTCTTCAACGTGGTCATTGAGCCTAAAAATCAATGCCATGTCAGGCTCATTATATTTCTAACTAAAAGCATAAAAAACTTTCGGTTTATAAGTATTTCACACAAACAGACCACAACAATATCAGTTTTGTGAATTAACTGTATTATATATTTATTTTCTCATGTTTCTGGCATCTCTCGCCCCCTTCCCATCCAAAGGTTTTATAAAATGTTGAAATATATGTATATATTTACAAAGCAAACTAATTATAAGAAAGATAAACAGAACAGTAGCAAGAGCCCGCCATTGGCACAGCAGTATGTCTGCAGAGTTACAACGCTAGAAAACGGGTTTCGATACCTGTGGTGGGCAGAGCACCTAAAACTCTTTGTGTTGCTTTGTGCTTAATTCCAAATAAACAAAATGATAGCAGGTGTTAAACAACAATGGGAAACCTATGACTACAAGGGGAAGCTATTGATTAGAAAACTGTATTAATAACAGTTTAATTATTAACTAAGTTGCTTTACATGGTTTCAATAATTGTCTTAGCTGTTATTGATACTTTTCCAATATATATTTTTTACTTTTTTACCTATTTGTGCAATTTTCTTTGTCCTTTTCCGACTGACTTATTTACCCTTGTCTTTATTACCTAGATTCTTGCGGACCACGTGGTTGGTTCCATTCTAATCCAGGATTCCTGACCTTTTGCTTCCGTTACTCCAGCTAAGCCTGCCTCACCTTGTTAGGGTTACACCACTGTTATTTCCATGCCTGCTTTTGCTTGTTGTTCTCTCATCTTATCGTGGATCAGATAGTCCCACATTCATCCTTCAATGTTTGGATTCTACAAGTACGTGCCTTTTGTTTTCACTTTATCCAGTATATTTTGTTGAGCCTCATTCTCTTTTGTTACATGAGTCTCCTTCACCTGAATCTTTCTTCTTTTTTTTTAGTTTAAAGATAACTTCTATGTTTCTTTCCACCTACCTCTCCTCATCTCTTGCTCAACTTTGTTCAAACTCATGCTTTTTATTTTGGAGGTTTTACATCACGACGGTACTGAGGCAACTTCCATATATCTGTTTTTCATTTTGCCTCAATTATCTTGTTTTCTTTGTTTCTGGTATGTACTTGTCAAGTTGCCTTACTTTCTGACATTCGCCTCTATCAACCCCCCTACACACATCCCATCCAGGACTTCTACCTTGTACCTTCTATTTGTAGTGTGTTTTCTTGTGTGCTTGTGGGGATGCATTGTGAAGCATTTTATGTTATTTGCAAATGCTTCAAGAAAGGATCAAGAGACGAGAAATATAATTTTATAAAATTTCATGTATGATATACATGTGATACAAAGAAAATTGGGCTCGTTTAATGAATGCATACAAAAAGTTACCCAACGATGCTTGACCAAGAAAAGAAAAGTATATCAAGTATAGACTAAAGATGCATTCTGGTCGGTTTTGAGAAATATATGTTTATATTATCAATAAACTGACACTATCATAGCAGAAAGACGGCTGTGAGAATGTTTATATAAACTCCCTTAGAGACAGTACACGAGATCCATATCTACAAACTGACGCCATCATAGCAGAGAGAAAGCTATGGGAATTTTACATTAGCTTCATTAGAGACTAGACATGAATTCCATAAAAGGAATTAGTAAGGAAATCAGAGACGCTTGGCGGATCTTTGATATAAATATCACGGAAATAG